AGAAACAGGAGTCCTTCCTATCAAATACTATAAATTCAGCCCAGGAAGAGATTTTTCTTTTTTAATTACTCCTAGCTGGGCATGGTGGCGCAGGCCTTTAGTATCAGTGCTCAGAAGGCAGAGGCAGCTTGGTCTACAGATTGAGTTCCAGGACAGCCAGGGCTACGTGGAGAAACCCTGCCTCAAAAATAAATAAATAAATAGATAGATTGATAAATAAATAAATAGATAAATAAGTAAATAAATATTTTTATCTCGTCTGCCTTGTAAGACTTGTACGTAAATGAAATCGTTTCGGTCTTCCCAGCCAGTGAAATCCACATAAAAAGGTTTAGTCTAGGAATTTGATGTCTTGGAGGAGTGCCCCTTCCCCCTTCCTGTGTGCCAACTTTCCTCAGACTAGCCAGCTGGGAAGAGGCACAGGTACCACCTTCTTGCCTCTTTGCGCCTGCCCTTCGAGCAACAACCTCTTTTTTTTTTTTTTTAATTTATTTATTTCTTATATATACATATTCTGCCTGCACCAGATCTCGCTATGGATTGTTGTAAGCCACCATGTGGTTGCTGGGAATTGAACTCTGGACCTCTGGAAGAACAGCCAGTGCTCTTAACCTCTGAGCCATCTCTCCAGCCCGAGTCACACCCTCTTGATCAAGTGTAAAGTTCACTTCTGTCTAGACATTTCATTTAGATTGATAGATGTTTTCTCTGTGACCTGGAACTTGCTGAAGACCTGAGTGTCATCCAGTAGATCAGAGCTGGTGGAGGAGGACTCAGCCCTCTATGCTGTCTTCTGACATCCACATGACCACCATGACATTTGAACAAGGACACACTCACACAGGCAGACGTACACAATACATATCTGTAATCTTTAAAGTAAAAAATTTTAAAAGTAGATCTGGAGGCACAGGCAGGCGAGTATCTATGAGTTCAAGGCCAGCCTGGTTTACATAGTGAGTTCCAGGACAGCCAGGGCTATGTAGAGAAACCCTGTCTCAGACAAAACAAAATGAAAAATAGAGAGCGGGGCATGATATAGCTTGTGCCATTAAAAAAAAAAAAAAAGATTATGTGTATGTGTATGCAGTAGATGAAGATGTAAGCCACCTTATGTAAGAGCTGGGAACTAAATTATTTTGAGACAGGGTTTCTCTGTGTAGCCTTGGCTGTCCTGGACTCGATTTGTAGGCCAGAGATCTCCCTGCTTCTCCCTGGAATGTTACAGATTTTACCCACGGAGCCTGGCTTTTTAATGTATACAATGTTCTGCCTACAGGCCAGAAGAGGGCACCAGATCGCATTATAGATGTTGTTGCCAGGATTTGAACCCAGGACCTCTGGAAGAGCAGCCAGTACTGAGCCATCTCTCAGCCCCAGTATATATTCTTAATGTGGAGCTATCTCTTAGCTCTGGTTCACACGTTTAATCCCAGCAGAAGCAGGCAGACCTCTGTGAATTTGAGGCTAGTCTGGTCTCCACAGAGTTCTATACCAGCAGCTAGGCCTATATAGTGAGATACTACCTCAAAAACAAAAAATTAGATTCTTTAGTAATATAAACTACATGGATGAGTGACTGTAAATTCAATTCTCAGCACCAATTAAACAGAAAAGATCAGCTCAGGGCCAGGTGTGGTGGCACATGGCTGTCACCTCAGCACTCAGGAAGGCAGAGGCAGGTGGATCTCTGTGACAGGAGGATTGTGTGACACCCGGAAGTTGTCCTCTGACCTCCACATTCATGGTGTACTGCATGAGCCCCGGTGCTCACATGCGCAATAATAATACAATCAAATATTAGTGACACATAAGGACTAGGGATGCTGCTCAGTGGTCTCCAAAGAAGAAAAACTATGCGTGACTGTCAAGGATGGGCCAGCCGCAGATGAGGGCTTTACCAGCCGCTTGAGCACCTCAGAAACAGAAACCATGAGTGGTGGTGCATGCCTTTAGTCCCAGCACTCAGCAGCATCACTGAATTCGAGGCCAGTCTGCTCTACAAAGTAAGTTCTAGGACAGCCAGGGCTACACAGGGAAACCCTGTCTTGAAAAAGAGAGGGAGAGAGATACAGAGACGGGGAGAGAGAGAGAGCAAGAAAAAGAAAAAAGGAAACCCCATGCAGAAACTAGGAGTTGCCTGGAACAAGTTGTGGGCCACCTTGTGGTGCTAGGAATCTAACCCAGGTTTTGGCAAGAGCAGCCATTGCTTTTGTTGTTGTCCCCCCCCCCCCCCACACACACAGTGTTTATCTGTGTAACCCTTAACTTCAGTGATTCTCCTGCCTATGCCTCCCAAGTGCCGGGATTAGAGGGGGAGGCAGAGTCAGTGGATCTCTGTGAGTCTGAGGCCAGTCCAGGACAGTCAGGGCTCTTACACAGAAGAACCCTGTCTCGAAAAACCAACCTTCACCACCCAACCCCCGCAAAAGCCAATAAAACAAAAGGCGTGTGCCACCGGCATGGTTTAGGCAACTCTCCAGTGTTGTCCTTGCCCATCTTTTATTATTTTTTTCGACACTGGGTTTCACATAGCCCAATTTAGTCTCAAGTGACTATGTAGCTGAGGGGGGAACTGCAGTCCTCCTGCCTCCGCCTCCCAAGCGCTGGGGTTGGTATGAGCCACAGGAGGCGGACTTTGAATCAGTGTCTGCTTGACTCCCAAGCTGATATGCTCCGGTGCGCCCCACAGCTGTCAGGCCTCCCTGCTCTCCACCTCCTTGGTGTGCTGCCTGCTCCTCACCTCATCTTTTACGCCCTGTGGCGACATCCTCTACAAACCAGTCAGTTAGACGGTGGCCAGACATTCCCTTCTAATTTCCTTTCTCCCTTCAAAGGGAGAACCTTTATAGGGAAGGAGCAAGGGTGCTGCCTGCCACTGCTTTCAGTTTGTCCTGTTCTCTGCTTTGTTCTTAAAAACCCCAAGTCCTTACTATATGGACGATCAGGGTTGAGAGTCCAAGTCAACAGGAATAAGGCGCTTTGTTAAACTGGGGGTTGGAAGAGCGGCCAAGCTCTTGATTATTAAGAAGGCCTGACATCTGTATAACCTGTAACTGGTTACAGAGGCCTTTCCCTCAGGCATGCCCTGTGAGCCTCTCAAGCTATCACAGCTGCTAAAGATGGGTAAATCTTGGAAGCAGAAAAACCTTCGTCTGGAGTCCAGGCCTGCCACGGAGGATTGTGTGACCCTCACTGATACTAAGGTTTTTAATTACATTTTTACTTAGGGAGGGCAATGTGCCCATGCCATGGCACGAACCTGGAGGTCAAAGGACAACTAGTAGATCACCATGTTCATTTAGCTCAGGTTGCCAACCTTGGTGGGGGGCAGGTGTTAAGCTCAGCCATCTTGCAGTCCTGATTTCTCTTCTCCCCCATGTAGCTCTACAGAATCAGTTTATTAAGCTACTCATTTATCCATCCTCTTCCCAAGCTCACCCAGTAGACTATGACCTATCTGTAGGCAGACTTCAATGAGCTCCAGGGCTTCATGGTAAAATAAGTAATCCTCTAGTGCTAGTTTTTTTGTTTTTTTCTTTTTTTTTAAGACAAGGTCTCATGCAGCTCAGCTAGCCTTAACTATTTCACCAAAAATGACCTTGAACTCCTGATCTTCCTGCCTCCAAATGCCAATTGCTGGGAAGCATGCCTTAAATCCCAAAAAAATGGGAGGCAAAGGCAGGTGAATCTCTTGAGGCCAGCCTGGTCTACAGAGCAAATTCCAGGACAGCCAGAGCTGCCCGGAGAAACCCTGCCTTGAAAAACAAAACAAAATTATCACAACTTGTTTGTGTCTCTCTCCAGACCAGTTGTCTCCGAGGAGTGTATTCCAAATGTCTCCTGCAGGAAGGGCAACCAACATGTTTACCCAGGAAATTAGTTATGCAGCTTCAATGCCAACTGGAATGGTGTTAAGAGATTTCTGGTGAAGGTGACAGTCCTGGAACGTAACTGAAATGGTCCTAGCTACCTCCACGTAGCACTCGTTATATACCTGACACTCAGTGGCAGTTAAGTGGAGAAACAGGGTTTACTCTACGTTAGACTTTAAAGGTCTTCATTTCTAGAGGTTTGCAGAATTCCTAGTCTCCACTATCCCTTTTACAATCCGAGAAACAAAATTAAAAACATCTTTTGAGTCTGAGGTCAGCCTGGTCTACAAAGTTAGTTCCAGGCCAGCCCTGTTTATAAACAAGTAACAACAAAATCCAACCAACCAAACAGCAAGACTAAAAACTGAGAACTGAAAACTCTTACTTATCTTTCTGTTGGGAGAACCCCTTCGTGGGGAATGTGCCCAGGCCTTCCGCAGGCAGGCATGCGCTGAGGGCAGCTAAGGTGGCTGGTTTTCTCAGGACAAGATTCTACCTTAAACACACTGTAATGGGTATCCAAGTCGAAGCTGGGGAGATGGCTGTCCACAAAGCACCTGCCTGGTGAATCCGAGTTTGGTCTCCAGCACCATGCGGTCAGATGTAGTGGTGGGTGGCAGAGGCAGGGGATCCCAGGCAGTCCGACCAGCTGGCAAACTGTCCAGTGAGGGAACTTAGGTGGAAAACGTGGTGATGGAAGACCCAGCAGCAGCCTCCATGTGCCCACTCATCCGTGATCACCCCATTGCCACCCATAAAAAGAACAAGTTTGTTTTTTTGAGACAGGGTTTCTCTGTGTAGCCTTGGCTGTCCTCACCTCTCTTTGTAGACCAGGCTGGCCTGGAACTCACAGAGATCTGCCTGCCTCTGCCTCCCGCTTGGCTCAAAAAAAAGTATTTTCTGAAGGACAGAAATGTGATCTTGAGAGTGATGTAAACACACACACACACACACACACACACACACAAAGAAACATCACTAGCACTTGGGAGGCAGAGGCAAACAGCTCTCTGAGTTTGAGGCCAGCCTGTCTACAGAGTGAGTCCAGGACAGCCAAGGCTACACAGAGAAACTCTGTCTTGAAAAACAAAATAAAAAACACAAACAGAAAACCACCCAGAAACATCATATATTAACATATCTTTATTAAAATTAACTTTGAAAACAACAAAAACCACAGCATTTGTTTCACATTTTTGGCAATTTTTTTCTGCCTAACAGAAGACAGTTGGGAGTCTCAGATCTTCGACATCTGACCACTGCTTTGACTGGAAGTAAGTGACTTCCTTTCACCTGCAATTGCGCTGGAGGAGGGAAGGATGTCGGGACCTCTGAAGAACCATTAGCCACATGAAAACCACAGCAACAGAAGCTTCTCAGAAGAGGCTGCAGGCACTGCCTCAGCACCAGCATGGCAAGTCCTCCCATGGCCAGCATGTTTAAAGGAGACCCGAGTGCTTGTTAACTCAATCTGAATTGTTCTCCTTAGTTATGCCAGCAACTGAACCCTGCGCTGAGCTATAGCCCTCAGCCCCAAACTGAAATTTCTGTTTTAGAAACAAGGTCTCCTGGACTCAGGGAATCCTTCTAACTGATTCCCAAGTACCTGGGATTACAGGCATATATATTCAAACTGTCCAAACATCAATTCTTAAGATTACTCTAGTGCCAGGCAAAGTTACACAGTAGGATGTTTGTAAAGCTTTGTTCTGGAGAATGCCACATGTCATGCACAACCAGCCCCGAGCTGCAGTGTTGGAGCTTCCCAAGCTTTTCTGTGCCCATGTGATACCATTAACTTGTTCTTGGACTCCCTCGTGAGAGAAGCCCAGAGCCGACCTGGCTGATCCAGGGCTGCCACGTCCTTCCTCATTCAGCTGCCTGGTGCTATCTCAGAAGGAAGACAGAGCCTGAGGTGTTTCCGGGTGCTAGCGACCCACACTTTGACAGGTTCCTTGTGACCTTGTGATGATGTAGTTGCAGGACAGCTCTGTTCTGCTGAGCAACAGTGTACTTTTCCAGGTTGGTTTTCTGGCTTTGAAGAGGCTGCTTCTCAGATCACTCCACATACATAAGACAGCAACCATTCTCCAACTTAATGACTTTATTTGACACAAAATGCAATATGGCTGCGGGAACAGCAAACTCCAAAGACAAAGGAAAGGAAAAACAAAACAGAAACAAAAACCATGGCTCTATCTAATTTATAGTTAACGGGAAGGCAAGTCACTAAAGGAGTAACAAACGGATAAGCTTTATGGGAGAATCTTTCCTAATGTCCATACCTGAAAGACAAAACAAATCACCTCATTAGGAACTGGAGAGTAAGACCATAAAACCTTTTTTTTGTAGGCAGGGTTCTCTATGTAGCCCTGGCTATTTGGAACTCACTCTGTAGACCAGGCTGGTCTCAAATTCAAATTCTGGGATCAAAGGCATGCTCTAGAATGTTTTGTTTAGTAATAAGAGTATAATCAATTAGCTGTAAGTTTGGTATCAGAATCAATCAGCTGAGTTAATAAGCCAAAGGGATGTGGCACTTGAAAGGCTGAGGTGGGAGGGGCCTCATAAATTTGGCCAGCCTGAAATACAGAAAGAGATGCTGTCTCAAGGAGAAAAGAAAAGAAAAGAAAAAAAAAATCCCAAACAACAAGAGTGGGTTTTGGTGGGCACATTTGTGACCTCTGTCTGGGAAGACAGAGGTAGGAGGAATTCCAAAAGTTCAGGCCAGTCATCGATACACCAAGAGACCCCAAACCTCAAACACATAAAACAAGGTATGGTGGCACACACCTTTAAATCCCAGAGCCCAGGAGGTAGAGGCAAGGTGAATCTCTGAGTTCTAGGGGGCCTGGTCTCGGAGTGAGTTCCAGAACAGCCATGGCTACATAATAGAGAGACCCTGTCTTAAAACAAACAAACATACAAAATCAGTACATTAAATAAGTATGTGAGCTGGGCACAGCGGCTCAAGCCTTCACTCCCAGAACTTAGGAGGAAGACCCAGGCAGGTCTCTGTGAGTCTGAGTCCAGGCTGGTCTACAGAAGACAGCCAGGGCCACACAGAGAGATCCTGTCTCAACAAAAAGGGGATGGGGTGGGGGAAGGGAACGACAGTGCTCCACCCTCCAGCTGCCTTCAGCTCGAGGCCAGAAGAACACAAAACAGAAGCCCCACACTTAGAACCCCCAACAGGGAAGAAACACCTACTTTTGGAATTCCCACTCTCTGTTGTCCAGTGGACACACCTGCCTCGTTTTGAGCCATCGAGAGATGCAGTGGAAATGAAAAGCATGCTGAAAGAGAAGACAAGGTGTTATCCCTCACTGCAGCCGCCGGCAACAGCAGTCCTGGGCTGCACAGTGGGGACAGGCAGGTTAGACAGCAGCCGTGGCTGAGGGCAACATTCCACATGGCATCTTGGAGCCCCTCTTCTGGGTAGGCGCATCAGTCACATGACACGCCTTTACTGCTACAGAGATCACTCAGGGAGCACAGGAGCACACTGTGCCGGTGAGGTCCTGTCTCCCAGGGAATGTGAATCCTGGGCCATTCAGCTTTCACTGCTCCGAGAAAGAAGGTCCTGATCACACAGAGGCTTGAAATGTGAAAAAAGAGAACTGTCCTTTCTCAGCAACAACTTTTTAGAAGATTCTGTCCCTTCAGACTCTTAACACGACTCATCACGCAAAGAAAAAAGCAGCCAGAATTTTTGCATGCTTATAATCCCAGCACTTGCGAGGCTAAGGGGGAAGCAAGAATTCAAAGTCAAGCTCAGCTAAACTCTCAGTTCGAGACCAGCCAGGGCTGCATGAGACCTTGTTTAAAAGAAACAAGGTAGCAAAACAAAGCTCCCCTCCCCCAAATTTCCAGGAGGCAGAAGCTGAGACACTCTCAGCACATCTAAGTCCTGGGGACAGCTCACCTGAATACAGGCCACCTGTCTGTAGCGCCCCTCCCCACCAAGCATCTGACAGAGTCCTTGCCTCTCCGAACAGCAAGTGTCTACAAAGGAGGTTTAGGTACAGGTGTCCTATCTTTCTTCAGAGAAAAGAGTGCGTTTAGCAGATGGTGCAGTTTACCAAGGGCACATTTGCAGGGCCCAAGTTTACACAACCATCACCTCACTCAAGCCCACTGCAACCCTGGAGAGCAGGCTAGACAGATACTACTATCTGTAGCTCACAGCCAGGAAACGGAACCTCAGACAAATGACTTGTCTAATTCACAGAGCTGGTTCATACAAGACTAGTACCCTAGCCTAGCCTGGAGGCTTCTGGCATAGCATGTCCAGGCTCTCCTTTATGACAAGCTATCTGAATAAATTCATCTTTATCTAAATTCATGAAAAAAATGTTGTTTTTGTTTTTAAGACAGGGTTTCTCTGTGTAGCCCCAGCTGACCTTAAACTTGGGGATTTGCCTGTCTCTGCCTCCAGAGAGCTAGGATTAGGCATGTACCACCATACCTGACTCTAAAAGCCAGGAGTAGTGGCACAACCCTTTAATACCAGCACCTGGAGGCAGATACAGGCATATTTCTGTGAGTTCCAGGCTAGCCAGGGCTACAAATTGAGTGTCTATATTAAAAATAAATAAATAAAATTAATTTATTTCTGTTTATGTTTGTGGGCACAAGTATGCATGACACTCACATGGAGCTCAGGGGATAACCCGTGGAAGCCAGTTCTCTCCTTCCACCATGGGGTTCCACAGATTGAGCTCTGATGGTCAGGCCTGGCACCAAGCACTTTTACCAATGAAGCCCCTCAGCAGGTTCGCCCCTTTCCCTTCATACAAAAGAATGTTACCTTTAGTCTGAAAGCAACTAGGGCAAAGCTCCTGACGTATCTCCTCTGTCTCCATGAATGTTTAACATCACCTTTGGCTAATGGAGTCTGTGAAGTGGCCATAAGGTCTGGACGAAGGAGGAGGAGTGGGCAGGAATGGCTGGGAAGACAGCCTCAGGCCACAGGAAAGCACCCTGCACTAGGAAGGGCCACCCCCAAGACTATATTTAAAGATTATTGTTTTAAATCATGTGTACGTGTGGCTGCTGTGGGCATGCGCAGGTACCTACAGAGGCTTGAGGGCCGGAGCCCCAGAGCTGGGACCACAGGCGGCTGAGCTGCCTGCTATGCTGCTATGGCTGCTGGAAACTGAACACGGGTTCTCGGGAAGAGCAGTGTGTGTCCTTAAGGGCTGACCCCTCATTTAGCTTCCTTATTAACAAACAAATATTTCTGCTTACCATGTCCTGGAAGCAACTCTAAGGTTTTTGTGTTTTTGTTTGTTTTCTGTTTTTTTTTTCCCCCAAGACAGGGTTACTCTGTGTAGCCTTGGCAGTCCTGGATTCACTCTGTAGACTAGCCTTGAACTCATAGAAATCCACCTGCCTCTGCCTCCTGGGATTTCAGGAGTACGCCACTGTGCCCAGTGCTCTAAGTACTTTTAAAACATCCACTTATTTGGGGGTGTACCTGTGTGTCAGTTAGGAGGCTAACCTGTGGGGGTCAGTTCTCTCCGTCTCTACCATCTGGGTCCTAGAACTCAAGCTCAGGCCATAAGGCTTGGCAGCAAGGCCCTTTATCCACTGGGCCATCTCACTGGCCCTCTAAGCACTTTAAAAAAGTTAAATCATTTAATCTCGTTCACACTTTCAGTATTAGGCATGTTTTACCTGAGGGAACCCAGGATCAGAGATGTAAAAAGTTCCAAAGAAATTACTAGCAAAGTCAGACAGCAATAGAAGACTTAACCCCGGCACCTGTGCCCTGAACCATGATGGAAGCTGCGCACCCTGGGCCTGCTGGTCAGTCTCAGCACTGTACTAAGACTGTAACCACTAGAAATGATACACTGCTGTCTCATCTCCACAGCTGTCACATCCTGCAAGGCTGTACATTCAGTCCAACAGTGAGGCTGTGTTAAATAGTTCTGGCAGAAGCCATAAACACACACACACACAGAGAGAACTGAGAACTTAACACTCAACCCATGCACCAAACTTCATCCCACAAACACTTCCCTTAAAAGATCTGTTCAGGAGGCTGGAGAGATGGCTCAGAGGTTAAGAGCACTGGCCGTTCTTCCAAAGGTCCTGAGTTCAATTCCCAGCAACCACATGGTGGCTCATAACCATCTATAATGAGATACATATAGGCAGAATACTGTATAAAAAAAAATCTTAAAAAAAAAAAGAGAGAAAGAAAGGTCTGTTCAGAAGAGGCACACTCTCCCATGATGGTGTCAGGCTTTGAAGATAACCCCTGAAGATGACTGAATATTCAAAACATTGCTTAGGGAAGTAGGTCCTCTTAGTAATTAAGACAAACTTAAGTCTTTCTTTGTAATAACTACTGTTTAACTGATTAAAGGTAAATACCACAAGGATTTAAACTCTGCTGTTACTATTTGAATACCTTTTGGGAGAAAGGTGGACTAATCCTATTTTCCCCTAAGTTTCAAGCCTGGAAAGCAGGAAGAGCAGCAATGCATGCACAAGGCACTCATAGGTAAAGGGGTTCCTTACGTTACAGACGCCCCACGCAACCGTGCACTCTTCCGAAGTAGCGGACGCCTGGTTGGCCTGACATTCGATGCCTGTGGGAACAAGGGTAAGAGCATCACTGACCTGGGGGCAGCAGCTTCTAACCCAGCCAGCCAGGTCCTGAAGTGGTTAACTGGCCATTACCGTTTTCAATGGATGTGGGAAAAGGCGAAGAGGGAGGGCCATGTGGTAGCTCAAACCTTTAATCCCAGCACTCGAGAGGCAGAGGCAGGAGGATCTCTGTAGTCTGAGGGTAGTTAGGGCTACCACCCTAATATTGTTCCCCCTAATAATTTTCAAGATGAACAAAGCAAGAAAAGTGACAATGTAGTTACAAAGTGTTGTTGAAGATGGCAACCAAATAAAGTCTCCCTCCTGAAAAACAAATTTAAAGACTATTTGGGTTGGTACATGTATATCAAACTAGTAGATGGGAAGCAGAAAATGCTGGTGTATCTGGCCTCTCCACTGGCCTTTTCCCCGCCCCTCAGAGACCAGAGGCCAGGCTGTGAAATCACAGACCTGCTTCTGCTGTTCAGAGTCACGTATGTTCAGGCAGTGTAGCCTGGCCGCCACCTTAGAGACTCCAAGGTCTGTGCTGTACAGTCAAGAACTTACTCTGGGGGGAGGGGCGGGGGGGCGGGGGGGGTTCATGCCTGTAATCCAACTCTTGAGAGGCAGAGGCAGAGTTCCAGAACAAGCCTTACTGTACAGTGAAACCTTGTCTCAAACAAAAACAAACACTGCACCAACAACCCAAACCAAGATACACATAACAGAGGCAGGTGGATCTCTTGAGTTTGAGGTCAGCCTGGTCTACACAGAGAAACTCTGTCTCAAAAAAACCAAAACAAAGAAACCAACCTCCTGATCCTCCTGTCTCCACTTCCCAAGTACTGGAATTCCAAGTATATACCATTATACTCAAATCTGTCCCAAGTTTTTGATACAGAAGTTCAATATTTTACCTCGTGACATTTTGAACATATATTACGAGGAAAGCAGAGGCTGCAGAATCATGAATTTGTAGTCAGTCTGGGCAATACAGAGTTCTAGACCAGCCTGACTATGAAGCCATCTTAAAACAAACAAAAAAACAAAACAACAAAACAAGCCAGGCCTGGTGGTGCACGCTTGTGATCCCAGTACTAGGGGTGGCAGAGGCAGGCGGGTTTCTGTGAGTTCAAGGTCAGCCCGTCTTACAGGGAGAAAAAAAAAGTCCAAAACTAAAAAACATACACTGTATTATGAGGCAACATTAAGTGTCTAGTGGGGAAACATGTTAGTGTTTTGCTGCTCCCAGCAAGTACATTCTGTCCCATCTGAGACACAGTGTCACGGAGGACAAGAAGGAATCTGTGTTTTGTAATGTTTTGCACTGTTTTCAGATGAGAGCCCCAAGGAAGTATGGTTTTTTCTGGATGCAACTTCTGACAATACAAGGGACAAAGACTGGCAGGCACACAACCAGACTCCACCCGTATTTAAGCTGCTGTGATTGAGTGACGGGTTCCTCCCGTCTACAGTAAACATGGAAGCTGCCAATCTGCTCTCCGAGCAGTATGAAAAGAAAAGGTCAAAGTTCAAAAGAACTCTGAGCCACCAGCAACTACTAGCAAATGTCACAAGTACTTCCCAACACAAAACTTGTTTCATGCTTTCTAAGTTGAAGGGATCAGACTATTACACTATTTGTTTTTTGTTACCCACTAGCAAATATTCAGGGCAATTTTCTTACAGGCTAAACAACATGTTGGAGTAGTAAACAACATGAACATAACAGAACCACCTAAATAAATGACATAAAGGGACACTGTAGCAATAGCCTATGAGTGAACATGTAAATGTGGAGTGGGGGGGGGACATACAAACATCTAACAGGAAACAAGCACGAACTCATGCATGGACACTGTACTGCTCGAATCTGCAAATGCAGAATTTGAGATTATTCAGGGCTGGCTATACATTTACTTTATAATTTATTGTTATTTATTTAATGTGTAAGGGTGTTTTGCCTGTACCAGAGGGTGCCTGCTGCCCGTAGAGGCCAGAAGAGGTCATTGATACCCTAGAACTGAAGTGACAGACCATGATAAGTCTGCATGTGGGTGCTGGGAACCAAACCTGGGTCCTCTGGAAGATCAGCCAGTGCTCTTATCTCCTGAACCATCTCTCCAGCCTGTGACTATAAATCTTGCCTAACAAAAACTAGCTCAGATAAGAGTACTGTAGTTCAAAGCAGGTTCCAGGACAGCCAGGACTGTTACACAGAGAAACTCTGTCACAAAAAAAAAAAAAAAAAAAAAAAAAGAAAAACCCAAAAGTCAGTGTGGTGGCACACACGTGTAATCCCAGCACTCTGGGAGGCAAAGGCACGAGGATCTCTGGGAGTTTGAAGCCAGCCTGGTCTACAAAGTGAGCCCAGGACAGCCAAAGCTACACAGAGAAACCCTGTCTCAAAAACCAAACCAAACCAAACAACAACCAAAAAACCAAACCAAACAAACAAACACCCCCCACCCCAACAAAGAATACTACAGTTCAAATCTTAGCCCTGGCTGGCCTGTAATTTGCCACTATACTTCTGCTGATATCTCCCAAACTCTGGGGTTACAGGCATGCACTTCCATATCTACCTTCAAAGACAATTTTCTTTCACTGTTTTTACATCCGTGTTTGTATAAGATCAGAACAAGTGGCAACTCTGCCTACAGCTCATTCTAAATGGGATCTTGCTGGTTTTACAATGAATGTATGCCACCACACATCATTTTAAAAACAATTCTACTCAAGAGGCAGAGGGAGGTAGCTCTCTAAGTTTGAGATCAGCCTAATCTACAAAGTGAGTTCCAGTATGGCAGGGCTACACTGAAAAATCCTGTCTCCAAAACCCAAACCAAACATCTACACCAAACACTCCAATGGATGTACCTAAGGATTCTGACCTGCCTTTGTATCTACTTGTGAAGGAGATTGGGCACATCAGGATGACCACCATTTCTGTAACCTCGACTCCTTCCCATCCTCCCTGAGTTACTTACAAAGATCCATAATGTGGTTCCTGCAGATGGCACAATTATCAACCACAATATCCCAGGCCCAGAGGGCTACGGCATTCCACTGAAAAGAGAAAGAGGGAAACAATGCATTTTCCTTGTAATGTATCAGACTTGTTAGGACTTCAGGTTTTAGTTACCACTCCCTGGATAATATTATCGGTACTACACCAAAGGATAGCAATAGATAACGTGATTCCTAATTCATCCCAAGATGGAGTATATGAACATGGGGGTCTTTAAGTGTTTGTTTATAATGTAAAATAACTTAGCTAGCCAAACCAATGCAAGCAAATTAGAAATGTTTTAAAACATCTGATTTAAAAAGGTACAAAATTATTGTGCAGCTTTCCCTGACAGTTGTGGAAGAACTCAGAAAACTTCCTAAATGTCTGCTCTTCAAGCACTGCTGGACACACGTGCAGGGAGGCGAAAAGAATTAACTAAGATGATGGCTGGATCATAACGTGAATAATCCTGGGATAAACTGGATAGCTAGTTACCTAGCCAGTGTCAGTACAGAGAACAAGGTCATCTCCTAAATCTTACAAGATAACTTCACGATAAAGTAGAATCCACTACAGCTTTCTTTTCTTAACAAGTAAACTGATGTCCTCAAACTTTTATATGGCCAAATTACTACCTTGTTAATTCTAATAAGTCATTCAACTGGCTTCTGCAATTACACACACGTGTGAGACATCCCTTTTAATGACTACTTTGGTTTGACTTTTCAAATTCAACTCTCAGTTTTTAGTAACTTGTACATTACTTCTATTATTCTTCAATATGGCTGCTGGCTGTAACTCAGTGGCCACAATGAGACGCAAAAAAAAAGAAAAAAAAAAAAAGTTGGGATGGTTCCAAAAGTAATATATAAGAAAACACCTTCCCTACTTCACGATCTCCATTTTGAACAGATTTATGTTATTTTAAATAGGCACCGACCCTTCTCCCAAACTGCTGGCAAACTAGGAAGGGGAATAGCATGCAAAAAGATGTTCCATATTTTTGCTTTTCTGTTCACGTGCCATTAACAATTAGTACCCCACCTTCCTAAATGCCACAAGTTCTGGGCTTGCTTTTAAAACAAAGCCCACCAAGCTTTTTAATTACTTTTTTTTTTTTGTCTGTTTGTTAGAAAGGGTACCCGGACATTAGAGAACCATCGAGTGCTGGAAGCTATGTGACAGCCAGTAGACGGCTCGGAAGAACCAAGCTTTACACTCGAGACCGCGGGTTTGGAGGCCAAGGGAGGCCTCCGTACAACCGAGGACACGCTCCGGGTGCCTCGGAGTCAACAGACTCCAGGATGCAGGAAGGGGCGGGACAAGGACGCCGCAGGGCTCCCCCAAGGCCTCCTCTGCGGTAAGGTCTCCCGTTCTCGGCTTCCTCCGCACTGCCCCATCCTCCACCCGCCGCAGTCTCCTCGCCAGTCTCCATCCCCCCCCCCCACTCCGCCCCGTCCTTCCCCCCATCTCTCAGTCACTCGAGTGACAGCTCAAGTGCTTGGCTCCCGCACAGAAGTCGACCCCGCGTAGTTCAGTAAGCAGCTCTGCGATTGGCTGCACGGCTCCCCCGGCGACTCTAACACGGCCCCGGACAGTGGGCCGCGGCCACGCCGATCAACCCTAGGCCCGCCCCCCGGCTTCCTTTCGCGGTACCCGGTCCCAGGAACGCCCTGAAACGAAGCCCTTTCCCCCGCGCCTAGCTCATCCTCGGGCCTGCCAGCCGTCTCCGCGCCTCCCTCGCTTCTCTGAGAAAGGCGCTGGCGAGACCCAACCTTTTTCACTTCGAAGCGCTTCTTGCCCGCGCCGCTGTTGGTGCCGCTGGGGGTATCCACATCCATCGCCGCCGCCATTTTGGAAACACAGTGTCCGCCGCCGGGACACTGCGCCTGCGCATCGGCTCACATTTCGCCTCCTGCTCCCACCACCAGGCTCCTCCTCCCGCACCCCTCCCCTCATTGGCGTGAGCGGGCACAAGGGGCGGAGGCTTCGGTCACGCCCCTTAAAGGCGCAGGTCGAGGTTCCCCTTTCCTCTCAGCTGGGGAGGTGGATGGAGTAATTGAGGCGGGGCCGGGCGGGGCCGGGCGGGGCAGGACGACGTGAGGCAGCCGGTGGGAAGGTCCGTGAGCTCTCAAGCTGGTCCCTCTCTGGGACGCTCCGCAGACTGGCTAGTTCATCTGGGGCGGCGGCTGCTTCCTTCTTTGCTCGGGCCCACGGTGCTGCTGCCCCCGCTGCGGCGGAGCAAGGGGCATGGGCGTGTCATTGGAAACCCGAGACTCCGCGCGGGCCTTGTGCTGCTCCTGGCCGGCTTCGGAGCCTGGCGGTCCCCAGTCTCCTTGGCTGCCTGTGGCCAGCCTGCTGAGTTCCCAGTTTCAATTTGATGGGGAGAGGAAGAGGCCCGAACGTCCTGCCGCAGACCAAACAGAGCAGGCATTCTGCAGCTCTGCCTTCACCTTCCCAGCAGAAAGGGACCGAGAACGCTTAGGCGTCTGGGAGATGCCATAACACCTCCCGTAACAAGCCAGCCCTAAATGGTCCTCCCTTTCTCCTCATTTCCTATCAGAGTTTGGTACTTGTACTACACTTTACACTAGTTCATCTGTAGTGGCTGAACTTGAATTTGGGTGAGGTATTCTGATTTCCTTACCGGTCATTTTCATCAAGCTAAAGAACTTGTACTTTATGTCACGCTCCAGTGTTATTCCAGACCTCCGTGGTTTTACCTCCTAAGCCTGCAGAGGTATGACTAGAATACATCACATTTGAATTTCCTATATATTTTTTGTCCTGTAATCCTAGGACTTGGAAGCAGGAGGCTTTAGTGTTCCAGTTCTCGCAACAGGACAACAAAAAAGTTTTTTTTATCTGAAATGCCACATACCCTCTTAGCATAGTTAATTACTGGAGGGTAATGGAGTATGTCGTTGATACCATTGCTGAGCAGGACAGTACATCCAAAGCAACACCACAGCTTTAACTTGCACACACAAAATGTGTGAGAGCCTTGCAGGGGCTGTGTGTGATTGCCCAAGTTCTGCCTCCCATATTCAAGCTGTCACTGATTTATTATGTGTTAACAGACCCCTGTAGGGATGCTAGAAACCCATAGCTAATTAAGACACCGAGGACATATATATCCATTATTCAACAAATACCTTGAGTGCGTATTAGGTCTTGTAAATTTTGGTTTATAGCCGGGCGTGGTGGTGCATGCCTTTAATCCTAGCACTCAGGGAGGCAGAGGCCTGGTCTATAAACCCAATCCAGGATAGTCAGGGCTACACAGAAAAACCTTGTCTTGAAAAACCAAAAAAGGAAAAAAGAAGAAGAAAAAGGAAATTCTGTTGTCTCTACCTCCCAAGTACTGTGGATAGAGGAGGAGAGCCATCAGGCTCAGCTATACCAGGTCCTACTTTAAACAGGAAAGCCACAGTGATGAAGTCCAACTCTCAGTAGGGAAAGAAAACACAAATCAACAACTGTATGAGGAAGTCAGGGAGCAACACAGGCTCTGAAAAACAAGATGATGAGATTGAGGGAGGAGGCAACCATATGTTAATTGTTGCCTGATTAATATTCATACATTTGAAGAAAGGTATTGGGCAATTTTGTTATTGTGTGAACATTCTATAAGGCACTTACACAAACCTAGATGAAGTAGCCTGTTACACACTTAGGTTCTATGGTTAGCTTACTGCTCCCAGCCTCTAAACCTGCACATACTGTCACTGTGCTGAATACCATAACCAAGCTGAGCACAGGTATTTGTAGATCTAAACACAGCAAATAAACATTAGAAATGTGCTATAAAATGCTGGCCATATAACTCAGCTGTAGAGCGCACAAAAGGATCTTTTAAAACTCTTTTCAGTCTCTCTGTAGACTGAACCAGAAAACCTTGTCAGGAACAAGTCTGTTGATTATTGTTCTTACTTTTAGGCCCTCACCCTGTGCACATCCTTTTCCAGATTTTTGTCCCCTACTGTATACTAACTAGGCCAGAGGCATACTCACTTATGGGAACAGGTTTCATGTAGACTGTGCAATTACCAAGTACCCTTGGGCTGGGATTACAGGCTGTGCTAATATGACCAGTGTAGCTGGGGATTAAATTTAGAGGTTTATGTCAGGCACTCTACCAACTGAGGTACATTCCCATTTCCTCTTTCTTTCCTTCCTTCCTTTCTTTCTTTCTCTCTTCCTTCTCCCTTTGTTTTTCTCTTTCTCTTTTTTCTTCTTTCTCCTTTCTCTTTCCTCCTTCTTTCTTTCTTTCTCTTTCCCTTCCTTCCTTCTTTTCTTTCCTTCCTTTCCTCTCTCTTTTCGTTGTTCTTTCCCTTTCTTTCCTTTTCTTCCCTTCTTTTTCTTTATCCTTTCTCTCTTCCTTCTCCCTTTGTTTCTCTTTTCTTCTTTCTTTCTTTCCTCCTTTCTTTTATTTTTCTTTCTCTCTTTCCCTCCCTTCCTTCCTTCCCTCTTTCTTTCTCTCTCTCTCTCTCTTTCTTTCATTTCTGACAGTGTTTCTCTGTGTAGCCATCATTGACCTGGACCTCCCTCTGTAGATCAGGCTGGCCTTGAACTCAGAGATCTGCCTGCCTCTGCCTCCCTTTCCCTAGTGCCAGGATCAAAGGAGTGCGCCACCACCGTCCTGCTCGTATTTCTCATTTCATATATTTGTATGCATGCACATCTTCTAAGATGGGGGAAGGGAGGTATCCAGCTTATTTTTTCCAAGACACTGTCTCCCATGGCCTTGAAGGCTAGCCTGACTGTGCAGTGAACCCCAGCTTTGTTGCAGTTGGTTCTGGGGCTTGAATTCATGCTTATAAGGCAAACCATCCTTTTTGACTTAAGCCCTCTCTATGTAGCCCTGGCTGTCCTGGAACTTGCTACGTAATCCAGGCTAGCCTTGAACTCACAAGACATCTGTCTCCCTCAGTCTTCAAAGTGCTGGGATTAAAGAAGATTGGGTCTTGCTGTGTAGCCTGTGCTAGCCTAAAATTCACCATCTTTCTATCTCAGTCCCACAAGTAATGGTTTACAGGCATGCACCACCACACTTGGCTTTAAGTTTTCAGTTTGTAACCTTTGTGAAAGTGGATTATAGACATTTGTTAATAAGGGAACAGCATTAATCAGCAGGTCCTTTGCTGTGATAGCACTAGAATGGGATTTGGATGATCTTAGGGTTCTATTTATTTATTATTTTACTTTTTTTTTTTTCTTTGAGATAGGGTTTCTCTGCATAGCCTTAGCTGTCCTGGACCAGGACAGCTTTATAGACCAGGGTGGCCTAGAATTTACAGCAATCTGCCTGCCTCTGCCTTCCTGAGTGCTGGGATTAAAAGCTTGCACCTTTAATAAATAAATAAATAAATAAATAAATAAATAAATGCTTATTTTAAAGACGTGGCTTCACTACGTAGCCCTGGCTGTCCTAGAACTCTCCATGTAGACCAGGCTTGTCCTCAAACTCAACCTATCAGGCAAGATACATCCACTAAAGCAATAGTGGCATAACTGTTCCAGGGGTAACCAATCATTCTTGTTTTTGTTTTGTTAATTGTATTTGAGGCCTGTTCCACAGGAGGAAATTGTATTTGAGGCCTGTTCCACAGGTCCTGGAAGCCTGTTCAGAAGCCTGTGGCTAGAGAGGCTGTTAACCTTAGTAGGGACACTAATGCTATTTTGCTAAAATGGACATCATATACCTGTCAAATTGCCTTCTATATGTTTTTGTTCAGAGACTAGTGCTGCTGTCAGTTTTGGTCACAGAATTTCCTTTTTTTCACAGTAGGTAATGGTTAGTGTTGGGACTTGTAACTGGTTAATGTGGACAGAACAAGTGACTGTTTCAGGGTCATCCCTAAGTGGGTATCACTTCCTCTAAGGCTCAGGGAACACTTTGGGAGAGGGAGCGGAGACAATGTAAGATTCAGATGAAAGGGTGAAGCATTGGGGAATGCTGTTGTCCGGGTAGGGCATGGCCATGGCACCCTTGAATGCTGAGCAACTCTGATAACCTACACAAGGCTTGTAGAAATTTGGGCCCATCAACATTCTCTCCTGGAGGCTCCCCTCCCAGGATCTACAGGAAGGCAGGTGGATAAAGGAGATTTTCTTTTGCGATGTTGCCACTGGTGGCCCATATGTCTGTAAACAACCCCTCACCCATTTTTTTTTTCTGGGTAACCTTTTGAAACTGATTGGTACACAGACAAAGACCCTCCCCCCAAAACAAAACAAAACAAAACAAAACAAAAAAAAAACCACCCATGAAAGTCGAAAGGGAATTAGCTGAGAAGAGGAAGATCAGTGAGAGCAGGAAGGAAGACGACAGAGCATAATGGACGGTGAATCAACTATATTATTTATAGGCTGGAGAGATGGTTCAGCAGTTAATAACACTGGCTGCTCTTCCAGAAAACCAGTGTTCTATTTTCAGCACCCACATGGTGACTTATAATTATCTGTAACTCCAGTTGTAGGAGCTCTGAAGCCCTCTTCCGGCCTCTACAGGTACTAGACATACATGTGGTGCACAGATAAAGTCAGGCAAAACGCCCATATACATGAAAATTAAAAAGTGTATGCATGCACAGAAGTAGCATAATAAAACTATGTACAACTGTTTCTCATATTTTAATAATACATCATCAATATGTGCTAATACAAAAACTTAAAAGAGCGCTGGCGAGATGGCTGAGATGGCTAAGAACACACGGGAGGTGTGACAGCACACACCTTTAATCCTAGCACTGGGAAGCGAGGGGAGACAGGTGGATTTCTGTGAGGTCAAGGCCAGCCTGGTCTATACAGAGAGTTCTAAGACAGCCAGGGCTACATAGAGTGATGGATTTAAGAAAGTTAACCCTAGGTCAAGAGCAAGAAACCTGTTGACACAGG